TATAATAATTGCATTATGACAAACAACAACATTACAAATCATTGGGGAACATCTTTGTTTTGTTTGATGGTGGATATGGAAACACACACAAAAAAAAAGTCTGTGTGGTCAGTCAGCGCTGGATTTACATATTTTCTATAGAATGACCTTTTCTTTTTTTTTTGTTGACTAAAAATAAATCTTTTTTTTCATTTCATTTCATTTCGAAAAAACAACAACAACAATCAATATATTTAGCTTTTGTTCACTCCAGGAACCATAATATCATCCATCCAATAATAATAAATCATATTACACGCGTTTTTCACGAAGAAAACAATACAAAACAGAAACTGACAACCAATTTTGGAATGTGGGAGACTTTCTTTCGTTTTCCATAATGATGATTACCACGTGAACCGCATGATTGATTTCTCTTTCTCTTCTTTTGTCTTTCTTTTCTTCTTCTTTTCTTCAATCATTCATTGTCAGTTTTTTCAGTGACTTTATTTCATCATTTTTTTTCGTTTAAAAGAAACTTTCAGAATTATCATAATTATGATAAGTAAAAATGTAAATGAAGAAGATGTTTGTTTGGAATTTATATTTGGAAGGCACCTTCAATGATGATGATGATGATTTAATTTTGATTTGGCAAGGAAACAAGAAAAAGATGACATTATCATCATCATCATATGATCCATAATTCATCATCATCATCATCAAATTCAATGTAACATTGTGAATCTGATCTTTTCTTCTTTCTTCGTTTACATTTTTTGATTAATTATGTATCAATTTTTTTTGTTTGTTTCTCTTGATTTGAAAACAAAGGAAACAATGAATTCAATCAATCAATATTCAATCAATCAATATTCAATCAATCAATATTCAATCAATCAATGTAAATGAAAATGAAAACAAAACAAAATAAAAATAACATCATTTATAACGAACCGGAACATTTACAATTTTTGGTTTGATTTGTTTTTTTTTCTAATTTTTCTTCATTTTATCGATTCGTAATCTCTCTCTCTTTATGCATATCTGTAATGAATTTCACACACACACACACACACACACACACAAATTTCACATGATAAAACCACAGGGACAAATCCAAATGTTATAGTTTATTTTGTTGTTGTTGTTGTTGTCCTTCCTGACAAAATCCATTTCATTACAAACATTTTTTAAATAATTAGAAAAAATTTCCAAAAAAAATAATAATCATCATTGAAACAAACAAACAAACATCAAAATGGTGTTGATGTGTGTGTGTGATTCCAACAAAAAAAAATGTAAATGCAAAACATCATTATAGAAGAAGAAAGGAGAAGATATACTTTTTTGTCATCTTTGTTGTTGTTGTTGTCATTTTGGAAATGAAAAACTGTTTGATCCTGATCTTTGATTTGGCACTACATTTACAGATCAAGATTTGTGTTGAGATAAGGAAAATATAACTGTAAATATAATCATTTTTGAAAGATTTGTCGCTTTTTCAATACTATTGATCTTGAACGAGATTTTTTTGGATCGGATATTGGATTCAAAGGACCAAAAAATCCTTTTTTTTATCAACTAACTATAATAATCCAAATTCATATCCATTTAACTTTAATCTTATAGTAATAGGCTTTTATATGCAAATCTACCGTGTTTTTTATTCATTCATTCATTCGAGTTCTTTCGAAAAATATACCTGAAAAGAAAATTCAAATGATTTTTTTCCTGTCAAAAATCAAAATTCAATATTCATCGATTGATGATCAAGTCAAATCAAATTCAAAAAAAGCAATAATACAACAAACATTGTAGATGTTTGTTTCTCTCTCTCTCTCTCTCTCTTGGTTTAATTCAATTTGATTTCTTCTATACATCACACACACACACACACACACCTGTAGAAACATTATACTCTTTCTTCTCCAACATTCTCCTACGAAAAAAAAACATCTCTTTTTTTTACAGGATAAACCTCTCTCTCTCTCTCTCTCTCTTCATCATCATCATTCACATCGTTTGAATTCTTTTGAATCAAATAAAGTGACGGGTTTTTTTTTCTCTTTCTCTTTTCGTTTCTCTTCTGCTTCAAACAAGTGTTGTTGTTTGCTGAAAACATCACCTGTTGGTCATCATCATCGTCGTTTGTGTGGTTGGTTGGATTTATGGCCAGATACGGCAACTATCCGTTTGTT